TATAAATATCTATAATTATCCTGTGCATAGCACGGGTGATAGGCTAGTTTTTATATAATAGGAAGCGTAATAGTAGCAACACACAAATTCTACAAAAGTTTTTACCAAATATATTATATATATATATATATATTGGTTGCGGGATTCATATAATATAATTACATGTTTGTTTATGTGAGATATTTGATAGAATTTTTAGTAGAATTTTGAAGACCTCTTGTATTTTTGTAATAGGAAGAGTAATATTAGGGAGTCCATAAATTCTATCAAAAGTTTTATTAAATATGTCATATGCGTGTGGGACCCATACAATGTGGATTCCATGTGGATCCGACACTCACATGAGACATTTGGTACAATTTTTGAGACCTCTAGCATTTTTTGTAATAGAAAGAGTAATACTAGGGAGCTGACAAATTCTACCAAAAGTTTTACTAAATATGTATATATGGGTGTGGGATTCATATAATGTAGATTACATGTAGGTTCATGTAAAATATTTGGTAGAACTTTTAGTAAAATTTTTATGACCTCTTGTATTTTTGTAATAGGAAGAGTAATACTAAGGAGTCCACAAATTCTATCAAAAGTTTTATCAAATATGTCATATGCGAGTAGAACCCATACAATGTGGATTCTATGTGGGTCTCACACCGATGTGAGACATTTGGTAGAACTTTTGATAGAATTTTTGACACCTCATGCATTTTTTTGTAATAGGAAGAGTAATACTAGGGAGCTGACAAATTCTACTAAAAATTTTACCAAATATGTCATATAAGTGTGGGACTTATACAATGTGAGTCGTATGTGGGTCCCATACACATTTGGTAGAACTTTTGATAAAATTTTTAGAGCCTCTAGCATTTTTGTAATAAGTAACACTAGGCAGCCTACAAATTCTACTTAAAATTTTACCAAATATGTCATATGGGTGTAGGGCCCATTGGGTTTCATGTGGGTCCCACACTATGTGAGATATTTAGTAAAACTTTTGAGCCTCTAGCATTTTTGTAATAGGAAAGGGTTTCTAATTCACAAGTCTTGGGGAGTTCTAATACCTCAATTTTAATTTTTTGATTTAAAAAAGAAATTCAGCACTTATTGATTTCTTTCAAGCCTTTTTGACTTCTCCTATACCCACCATTTTCAACTTCTCTCACACTTATTTAATTATTTTGAAATTAACAATTATTCTTCCTTTTCAATTTCTCTCATACATATGTAATTATTTTGAAAATAATAATTATCTTTCATTTTCAACTTCTTACATGCATATTTAATTATTTTGAAAATAATAATTATCTTTCCTTTTCAACTTCTTTCTTTCATACATATTTAATTATTTTGGAAATAATAATTATCCCTTAATTTATGGATTTCAAATGAAAAGGTAAAAAAAATATTTCATAATCTCTTTATTCTAATTTCTCTTATCGATTTCCAAAAGAAAATATTAAAACGTGCCTTTCTTTTCTCTTTCTCAAAAAATCAAATAATATTTTCCATGAGAATTGTGGGTATCTATCTATATTTTATATAACATAACCCAAAAATAAAAATTAAAAATCAGATATACAAATAGATAAAATTAATAAATGTGATTTATTTATTCAGTTAAACTTTTTCTTTTGCTTCTCAATATCCAATTTTAAATTTTAAAAATCTTTAAAATCTATCTAACCAAATCTAATTTGAAAATATCTCACATCATCATATTTTAAATCAATAAAACTCACATGTCTATCACATATCTAACTCACATCGTGATTTACCTAAATAATCTATATATATATATATATAAGGAAAATGAACTTTTTAAGAACATTGATTGTGGGAGTTTTAAACTCTCAAACTAATTTTGTTAATTTGTTAATTTTTAACGAAATAAAATTTTTAAAAAAACAACTCTATCGGTTAGTTCCTTAAGTCAAAAAAAATAATAATAATAAAAATAAAATAAAATAAAAAAACCAAACAAACTTTAATTATCTATGATTTTGAATTTTAAAATTCAAAACAATATGATAAGTTACCCCCACTCTTTTCAAAAATAATATTGATCAAAATAATTCAAATAAAGAAACAATGAAGGCGCTAATAATCTATGATTTTAAATTTCAAAATTCAAAATAAGAAAGGGTCTCTAGAATTCAAAATCTATGATTTTAAATTTTGAATTCAAAATTCAAAATAATCTAGAATTTTTAGGACCTCTAACATTTTTGTAATAAGAAAGGGTTTCTAACTCATAAGTCTTGGGGAGTTCTAATACCTCAATCTTAATTTTTTAATTTTTTGATTTAAAAAAGAAATTCAGCATTTATTGATTTCTTTCAAGCCATTTTGACTTCTCTTATACACATCATTTTCAACTTATCTCATACCTATTTCATTATTTTGAAAATAATAATTATTCCTCCTTTTCAATTTCTCTCGTACATATTTAATTATTTTAAAAATAATAATTATCTTTCCTTTTCAACTTCTCCTATACATATTTAATTATTTTGGAAATAATAATTATGCATTAATTTATTGATTTCAAATGGAAAGATAAAAAATATTTCATAATCTCTTTATTGTAATTTCTCTTATCGATTTTCAAAAGAAAATATTAAAACGTGCCTTTTTTTTTTCTTCTTCAAAAAATCAAATAATATTTTTCATGAGAATTGAGGGTATCTATCTATATCTTATATAACATAACCCAAAAACAAAAATTAAAAATAAGATGTACAAACAGATAAAATTAATAAATATGATATATTTATTCAGTTAAAATCTTTCTTTTGCTCCTCAATATCCAATTTTAAATTTTAAAAATCTTGAAAATCTATCTAACCAAATCTAATTTGAAAATATCTCACACCATCATATTTTAAATCAATAAAACTCACATGTTTATCACATCACGACTTACCTAAATAATCTATATATATATAAGGGAAATGAACTTTTTAAGAACATTGATTGTGGGAGTTCCAAACTCCCAAACTAATTTTGTTAATTTGTTAATTTTTAACCAATGCCACTACCGCTACATCCGCGGCTTACGTTAGCGAATCAACAGTGATTACGATATAGGCGCACTTCCGTGGCCACCTGGTTTGTTTTGTATTTTCTGCTATTCTGTTACACTAGAGAGCATGAATCCGACACAGTTATTTAAAAAAAAAATCAAATAATTAGTAAAGTTTATAAATATTAATAATTAAATTAATAAAATTGTCCATTGATCTATAAATATTTTATAAAAAATTATGTAAATTTTCCAAAAATTTAAGAACTCACTTAAATTTTCAATTAAAAAAAAAATTAACCATTGCCACATGTAAGCTTTTTAGATTAAAAATAAAAAATAATTATAAAACTCTGCCCAATAATTTGATCATCGTCAAGTGGGTGATTGTGATTATTTTTTTAGTAAATTATTTTCATATTTAGTAAATATTTTTTTCATTTTAAAAAAATTGATACTTGTAAATTATATTTGACTAAGATGAGTTAGAAAAGTACAAAAGATATTGAAAAAAATCACTAAAAAAAATAAGAAGTAAAACATAATTGATTTTTAAAAATATTTTAGCCTTTTAAAATTTTTTGTAATTGTGAAATTAATTTACATTAAATGGACCGAAAAAAGTATAAAAATTGTTAGACACAAGTTAAAGACAAATTTTTTTTTTTTTTTAAAAAATGACTTTTTAAAAATGTCGAACGAGGCTTAAGAATATGTAAATGTTGCGGGCCAACCCAAGCTAAGTGTGCCGAATACGAATTGAGTTATTTTGGGCCTATTTTGGTATGGACTTTTGGGCTCATTATTTGTCCGTATAAATGTGGGCTTGGGCTATGTACAGTGGGGTTAACCTTGATAAAGCATCAGCAAATGATAATCTTAATAAATATTTATATTCAGACAAAAAATAATTATATTATATTATATGTTATTATATAATATATTCAGACAAAAAAAAATTATATTATATATTATTATATAATATATCATACTATGATAATTATATTATATGTTATTACATAATATATTATTTTCCATTTTCAAATATATTCTATATTGTATTTTGCCAATTCCAATACTATTTTTTTTTTTTTTTATATCACAAATAACAAATATCACTGTGTGTTCATATTAGTATAATTCAATTTCAATTTCTTATTTATCTTTTATAATATATATAACTAAAATTATTTACAATTTTAATAGTTTACTCATAACAAAAACATATTTTGACAAGTTGGCATTTGCGTTTTTGGCATTTGCATTTTTTGATATTTTGTCCAAAAAACATGGCTCTTTATTTTGTTTCCAAAATGGCATACATATATTAGGAAAATATATATATATATATATATATTAGGAAAATGAGTAATAATTTCTTTTTGGAGATTCCACAACCTATATATATATATGTATGTATGGGCTCTTTTGTTGATATATATATTCATCTCTCTCAAGTCTCACTTCACCACATTCATCTCTCTCAAGTCTCACTTCACCACATTCATCTCTCTCAAGTCTCACTTCACCACATTCATCTCTCTCAAGTCTCACTTCACCACATTCATCTCTCTCAAGTCTCACTTCACCACATTCATCTCTCTCAAGTCTCACTTCACCACATTCATCTCTCTCAAGTCTCACTTCACCACATTCATCTCTCTCAAGTCTCACTTCACCACATTCATCTCTCTCAAGTCTCACTTCACCACGTTCATCTCTCTCAAGTCTCACTTCACCACGTTCATCTCTCTCAAGTCTCACTTCACCACGTTCATCTCTCTCAAGTCTCACTTCACCACGTTCATCTCTCTCAAGTCTCACTTCACCACGTTCATCTCTCTCAAGTCTCACTTCACCACGTTCATCTCTCTCAAGTCTCACTTCACCACGTTCATCTCTCTCAAGTCTCACTTCACCACGTTTATCTCTCTCAAGTCTCACTTCACCACTACGTTTTCTCTGGCACCACTGATTGATGGGCAAAGCAGCAAAGTTTTTTCGAGGCCTCTTCGGCCTGAAAAAGGACCACTCGCCGTCGCAATCGGCGGCGAAGCCTCCGAAGAGAAGATGGAGCTTCGTCAAATCTTGTAGAGAAAGGGACCGCACACCTACAAAAAACACCATCACCGACGACGCCGTTGATCCGAGCAAGCACGCCATCACGGCGGCGGAGAAGATAACGAGCAGCGGGAGGTCCAATGCCACTACCGCTACATCCGCGGCTTACGTTAGCGAATGGGCAGTGATTACGATACAGGCGCACTTCCGAGGCCACCAGGTTTGTTTTGTATATTCTGCTATTCTGTTACGCTAGTTCATGAATATGAATTAAGTATCATTATATTTTCTTTATTCCTTTTCAAATCTTTGAACAAATAGATTTAAATAGTGATTTAGAAAGAAAAATAGAAAAAGTATCCATTCATATTTGAATTACATTTTCTTTTTCTTTTTTTTTTGGAAAAGGATTAAGTAAAATGCTTCTATAAGTGTACCTTTTTAATCAAGTGGATACTGAGAAGTTGGTTTGATGACTCTGTTTTGTGGGTAATTTGAAGGCAAGGAGAGCATTGCGAGCATTAAAAGGACTGGTGAAGCTACAGGCACTGGTTAGAGGTCACATTGTGAGGAAGCAAACTGTGGAATTGGCACAGATCCTGCAGGCGATGTATCGAGCCCAAGCACGTGCTTGTGCTAGGCGGGCTCAAATTTCTGAATCCCCACATTCAAGCAATAAGTCCTCTCAATTCCAGGCAAGTTTCAATCTTCCCTCCAATTATTTAAATTTGTCCTTTTGATATGCAGCATTCTGTTTACGGTGTGCTTTTCTTTTAATAAGTAATGAATTATCAAAAATGCTTTTTCAGTAAGTAACAAATCAATTGCTAGCTGCATTGAATGCACCTTGCCGAAAACGCCAATTGTTGCATTTGGCAAGTGACAAAAAAGCTGCCTTGTGAAATTACCTAAATACCCTCCATGTTAGCAAATTACCTAAAATTCCAAAATTTGGTAAGGGTATATTGGTCATTCTATTTTGATTTGATGCCATAAATAAATATTAAACCAAAAATAAATTAAAAAAATCAGTTTTTTACCAACTTCCCAAATCACCTCCAAAAAAGCCAAAAAAACTTGGTAAAAAATCAAAAGTCAATTTTTTACTAACTTTCCAAAACAACCTATAATGTAATTTTGAAAATTGAATTTTTTTAAAATATAATAATTATATTACCAAAAAAAAATTGAATTTTCCAAAACTTTGGTACCATTATTTTGGTACATAGGAAGAGTATATATATTCATCTTTGGGACAGAGGGAGAGTAAATATTTTCATCTCTCTCAAATCTCACTTCTTTTCTCTGTCACCATTGATCGATGGACAAAGCAGCAAAGTGGTTTCGGGGCGTCTTCGGCCTGAAGAAGGACCACTCGCCGTCGCAATCGGCGGCGAAGCCTCCGAAGAGAAGATGGAGCTTCGTCAAATCACATAGAGAAAGGGACCGCACAGCTACAAAAAACACCACCACCGATGACGCCGTTAATCCGAGCAAGCACGCCATCACGGCGGCGGAGAAGATAACGAGCAGCGGGAGGTCCAATGCCACTACCGCTACATCCGCGGCTTACGTTAGCGAATGGGCAGTGATTACGATACAGGCGCACTTCCGAGGCCACCAGGTTTGTTTTGTATATTCTGCTATTCTGTTACGCTAGTTCATGAATATGAATTAAGTATCATTATATTTTCTTTATTCCTTTTCAAATCTTTGAACAAATAGATTTAAATAGTGATTTAGAAAGAAAAATAGAAAAAGTATCCATTCATATTTGAATTACATTTTCTTTTTCTTTTTTTTTTGGAAAAGGATTAAGTAAAATGCTTCTATAAGTGTACCTTTTTAATCAAGTGGATACTGAGAAGTTGGTTTGATGACTCTGTTTTGTGGGTAATTTGAAGGCAAGGAGAGCATTGCGAGCATTAAAAGGACTGGTGAAGCTACAGGCACTGGTTAGAGGTCACATTGTGAGGAAGCGAACTGTGGAATTGGCACAGATCCTGCAGGCGATGTATCGAGCCCAAGCACGTGCTTGTGCTAGGCGGGCTCAAATTTCTGAATCCCCACATTCAAGCAATAAGTCCTCTCAATTCCAAGCAAGTTTCAGTCTTCCCTCCAATTATTTAAATATGATTCGTCTTATATTAAAAAAGAAGTTTGTCCCATCTAAAAAAATGATTTTTTTCTTTACAAGAACATTTCAAGACAGACTGAAAAAAATTGAAAAGAAGAAAAATGGCCAGAGAAAGTGTTATAAATTGTGGCTGGTAACCATGCCCACATAATGGCTCTGGCCAAACACTTTCTCTGGCCATTGGTTACATGACCAGAGTCCCAATATCTGATATTTAAGTTAAGGTATTCACTATTGTCCAGTGGGGCACTGCTGTAGTGGTGAGCCATTGTTTGATTGCCTTTCTGTTTTCTTTGCCATCTGATTTTAATCAAGTGAATACTGAGAAGTTGGTTTGATGACTCTCTTTTGTGGGTAATTTGAAGGCAAGGAGAGAATTGCGAGCATCAAAAGGACTGGTGAAGCTACAGGCACTGGTTAGAGGTCACATTGTGAGGAAGCTAACTGTGGATGTGGTACAGCGCCTGCAGGCTTGGTTACAAGCCCAAGCACGTGCTTGTGCTGGGCGGACCCAAATTTCTGAATCCCCACATTCAAGCAATAAGTCCTCTCAATTCCAAGAAAGTTTCAATCTTCCCTCCAATTATTTAAATTTGTCCTTTTGATATGCAGCATTCTGTTTACGGTGTGCTTTTCTTTTAATAAGTAATGAATTATCAAAAATGCTTTTTCAGTAAGTAACAAATCAATTGCTAGCTGCATTGAATGCACAAAATTTCGGTCTTACATTTGATAGTCTAATTTAGAAATTGGTTCATATTACTCAGTTTCTCAAATTCTTTTCCAATTTTAGCAATACAATGAGTTGCATCACTCGAATCATTTTGGTTGACAAAATATATCTTGTATATGCTTGCAGGGCCCTGCAACTCCTGTGAAATTTGAACGTGCCATATCATCAAAGATTGCAAAACATGACCAGTCACCAATGCTTCTCAATGGCCCACAATTCTACTCGGCTTCATCAAGGAGTGGTAGCCCTAAGAGAGGTCCATTCACTCCCTCTAAGAGTGACGGATCAAGAAGCAACCTAAGTTGTCACTACCCCAATTGCATGGCTTGCACTGAATCTTCAAGGCCTAAGGTGAGGTCCCTCAGTGCTCCAAAACGAAGGCCTCAATTTGAGAGCTCTGTTTCATCCAAAAGGTACTCAGTTCATGGGTATGGTGAGTCCAGATCAAGCAGCCTAAGGGTTTCCACCAACTTTGCAAACAAAGCTTATCTGGGGTCTAGTCGTTTGGAGAGGCTTGGAATGCCTCTGAGAGGCGAAGTTCACTCTTTATGCCCTTTAATGTCTATGCAAGGCAACACTGAGGAAAGCCCTTTCTGCACAGCCAACAATGGCCCACAATTCTACTCGGCTTCATCAAGGAGTGGTAGCCCTAAGAGAGGTCCATTCACTCCTTCTAAGAGTGACGAATCAAGAAGCAACCTAAGTTGTCACTACCCCAATTGCATGGCTTGCACTGAATCTTCAAGGCCTAAGGTGAGGTCCCTCAGTGCTCCAAACAAAGGCCCCAATTTGAGAGCTCTGTTTCATCCAAAAGGTACTCAGTTCATGGGTATGGTGAGTCCAGATCAAAGCTTATCTGGAATCTGGTCGTTTGGAGAGGCTTGGAATGCCTGTGACAGGCGATGCAATCTGGCTCAATGCTGGCCACTGGAACAGATTCTAGAATAGTCTTTTTTTCTTTTTCTTTTTTCCTTCCTATTTTTAGAATTGGTGTCCAAGCTAGTTTACGTTTACCTCAACTAAAATGCCTTTTGAGGGTTTTGAGTCCTCTTGTTTATCAAATTAATCTTCCTAACTAATGTACTTAGCTACAGTTTTTTGTCCGTTTTGCTAGGTGAATCTATGTTTATGCTTTAGGGTTAATTTGAATCTAACTAATTGTTATGAGTTCTGTATGCACTTCATAGACTTAATTTTTAATGAGTAGCAGTGCAGGTTCTGCACTCAAGAGCTGGTAGTTGTTTGACAGTTACTAGGTTTTGATGAAAAGGTAGTTATTTTTTGAAAGTGAGTTCACCTTTGATATGTAGATTTATTATTAAGAATCTGGATCCTTTTTAGGCTGTGATTGGTTTATGGATTTGGATAGGGATTTAAAAATGAAAAAGAAAGGGAAAGGAAAAAATAGGTGAAGTGTCAATGAAATATAGTTACATTTCACACATCTTCCACACACTTTTTTCTTTTTCCTTTCCAAATCTCTACTCAAATCCATGAACCAAATACAACATTAGTAGTCCACCTATAGAGCATCATGTACTGTCCCAAAACAAAAACTTACACACAAAAAAATAGAGCTCCCTTTTCATCTTCCCCTTTTCAAAACTTGTCCCGATCTAACTCCAGTAATGCTCGAAATTGCCCATACTTGTCCAAACTCGACTGGCCAACTTAAGGTATTTAGTTCAAGTGCTATTCAAATTCAATAAATTTAGCTTATGTTAAGCACGTGTTAATTACAAAAGACTGAGTTGTGCAATTGAACTTAATTTTTTTAAACTTTTTTTTTTTGTGTGCTAGAAAACTAGAATCTATTTTTTGAGTTGATTATAATTTGTTTATAAACCAAAAAAACTCATTCGGAATTTCACAATCTAAAAAAGAAGGTTATAAACAACAATAACAAAAAATAAATTATTCATAAAAACATGTTGCTTAACTAGTTAATAAGAATCAAACAACATGTTTCAAATATCGCACAAAATAGATTCAATTGTTAAAGTAAATTATATTTATAGTATTGCTCTAAATATATTATTTTCAATTTCAATTTCCTTCAAACTCGTGTCACATTGGTTAAACATTTGCTCTTGAAGACCAGAAATGGGAAGGGGGCCATGCAAACAAAAAAAAATTCAGTGCTCTATTCTAAACCATTGTAAGTAACAGGATAGTCTCAAACACAGGGGGGCCACAGCCCCCTATAGTCTACACTATGGTCCATTCCAGCACATTGGCCCCCACAATCATCGGGACCAACCATGTAGTCCACATGGACTCGGTGGTGGGTGCGTATGTGTTGCCTCTGCTCTTTGTGCCTCCTCTTCTCTCCAGTTCTTCGTTTGCCATTGTAATTTGAATTGAAATCTCAGGCACAATCTATACATACAAATTGTACTTATGAATCGATATATAAAAAATAAAAAATGAAGAAAGTTGAGAAGTGACTTGGAAGGGGTGTGCATCGACTTGGAAGTGGTGTGCAGTGAACCGTGTGGACCTCGAAGTCTATATTTGGACGTTGTGGTTGTGATAGTCTGTTCTCAGCTTTAGGAAGGTTGAAATCTTCATACATACTTTTGGGTTGTCAGTTCTTTGTTTGGGTCACTTTTTGGGAGATCATTTGCTATTCTCAACCTCACCATTCTATCTTGAGCTGTTATGTACTTAGAAAAAAAAAAAACAAATATATGTATATTTTTTTTTTTTGTTGGACACAATTATTAAATCCTTAATTGTAACACAAAATATCATTTTTAAGAATGAATAATTTGGTAGTATTATTTTTAAGGTGTCATTTATGAGTCTGTTAGTAAAAGTTCTAAGATTGGTCAGTGAATGATTTTTTTTCCTTGTTACAGTGAAGGTAGTTTCTTGTTTTCTTTGCCATCTGATTTTAATCAAGTGGATATCGCGAAGTTGGTTTGATGACTCCCTTGTGTGGGTAATTTGAAGGCGAGGAGAGCATTGCGAGCATTAAAAGTACTAGTGAAGCTACAGGCACTGGTTAGAGGTCACATTGTTGTGAGGAAGCAAACAGTTGATACGGTACGGCACATGCAGGCGTTGCGAGCCCAAGCATGTGCTTGTTCCGGGTGGGCTCAAATTTCTGAATCCCTACATTCAAGCAATAAGTCCTCTCAATTCCAAGCAAGTTTCAATCTTTGCTCCAATTATTTAAATTTGTCCTTTTGATATGCAGTATTTTGTTTGTTTATGGTGTGCTTTTCTTTTAATAAGTAACAAAACATGCTTTTTTATTAAGTAACAAATCAATTGCTAGTTGCATTGAATGCACAAAATTTCTTTGTTACATTTGATAGTCTAATGTAGAACTTGGTTCATATTACTCAGTTTCTCAAATTCTTTTCCAATTTCAGCAATACAATGAGTTGCATCACTTGAATCATTTTGGTGACAATATATCTTTTATATGCTTGCAGGGCCCTGCAACTCCTAAGAAATTTGAACATGCCATATCATCTAAGATTACAAAACATGACCAGTCACCAATGCTTCTCAAGGTACTTGCTAGACTCTTTGCTTTTGTAGTATGCTACCTATTATTACTACAATCCACACCTCAATGCATTCTTAACCTACAGATGCAGAGAAGCAGCTCAAAATCAATTGCCCGGGTGATCATTCATCAAGACAAGGCATATAGTGGTTGGATTGGGTTGGACCGCGAAATGGATGAAGGATCATGGGACCGAAAGTGGCCTCATGGTTTGGCTTCAGATCAATGTAGTCATAGCTTTAGCACTTCAAAAGACTCAACAGCCCATCAAACAGTTCCGAGCCCCTCTTCTTGAGAAGTTTACTCTCGAAAAAAAAAAAAAAAACAATGCCCAATTAGTACACATTAATGTGTACAAAGTGGTAGCCCCAAGACTTGAAACCATAACCTCAAGGTTATAATGCGAAGTTCACTCTTTATGCCCTTTAAAGTTTACGCAAGGCAACACTGAGAAAATCCCTTTCTGCATGGCCAACAATAGCCCACAGTTTTACTCAGCCTCATCAAGGAGTGGTAGTTCTAAGAGGTCCATTCACTCCCTCTACGAGCAACGGATCAAGAAGCAACCTACACTACAAGAAATTAGTGATTTAGGGACTAATATTTAGAGACCAACTGAATTTAGTCTCTAAAAACCATCATTTAGAGACCAAAATAAATTTGAAGAAAAAATTATACATACACCGTATATTCTTTTATGATAGCCCAAAAAAAATTATTTGAAGACTTTTAGGGACCAAAAAAGTTAAAGTTTATGTTGATTTGATCAGTTGACCCCGTATGTGAGGTAGGCAAAAGCTAGAGACGAATTAATTTGGTTGCTAAAGGTCGTCAAATACGCGCTTCACTCGATTGATCCCTCCTTCAGTTGTCAAATACGTGCATTCTTAAGCTGGATTCCTTCCTTCACTACAATCGGTCTCAGTTAGGGCTCAATCAATCTCAGCTATTTCCTCTGTCTAGGACTCAATCAATCGATCTTGAGCTTCGATTGATCAATCGACTCAATCAATTGATCTTCAGCTTCGATCGATCTCAGCTAGGACTCAATCGATCTTCAGCTTCAATCCGAATCGATCTTTGTGCCGCCTCGTATCAGAATCGATCTTCACCTCATTTCTGAATCGATCTGAGTTCTTTGGCTTCAATCCGAAGGTAAATAGCGATTTGGTATGTTTTCAATCTCTTTCTCTCTGCACAGACACATCATTTATACATGTACATATCTATATATATACTCCTCTGTATTCATTCAAATTGCTTGAATTTGAAATTCTGTATTCATTCAGAGCTATATAGGTACTTGATTTCATATGTATATATATATATATATATATATTGTTGTACATGCATATGTATACTAGATTTGTGCTTTTGATTTTCGACGGGTATTGATGGGAAGATTAAGGCATGGTACTACAACAAAGGAGAATTAAGAGTTGATTATGATGCCCCAGGACATTCTTGCACAACAATGGCTTACAGTGCTGATGGGACAAGGTATATATAGGATAGGCTGCTAATTCACAAGAGGATCTGTGCTTCATTTGCATCTTTTCTGATCATGTTGAAAACTCTGTAGGTTGTTCTCATGTGGGACTAGCAAGGAAGGAGAATCATACATTGTAGAATGGAATGAAAGTGAAGGAGCTGTCAAGCGGACATATCATGGTCTTGGGAAGCGGTCTGTTGGGGTTGTGCAATTTGATACAACAAAAAACAGATTTCTAGCTGCTGGTGACGAGTTTGTAATCAAATTTTGGGACATGGATAATGTTAACCTCTTGACAACTACTGATGCAGAGGGTGGATTACCGGTAATAATCAAATTGCATCTCTTTTAGATTTGCTTCCCATCTTTCTGGATTACTGGTAATGATAAAACTAGAGGTTAATACTGGAGGATTTATGATTGAATTGGAATGCTTATGTATAGATATGATTGAAGAATTAATCAACAGGGGACAGCAGGTTGATGCGGTCCACTTTACTTTCGAAGTTGGTCTTGAGGGCAAGTTCCCTCCTGTTCCACTGCTGAAGGCTTTCCTAAATGATGCCAAAAAGGCTGCAGATTCCATTTTGGAGGATCCTAACAATTCTGATCGAGCTGCGGTATTTATTTATTTTGTTCTTCATGACTTTTTTTTTTTGTTGTATTGGTTTATACGCCTATAACTGTATGTTACAAAAGCAAATTCCGTATATCATTTCCAGTTTTTTCTTTTTTGTGTTGCATGTGATATGCCTCTGCCTTCAACCCCCAACACACACACACACACACACACACACACTTGCTATGTTTCTGTACTAGTGGTGCATGGACATTTAGTTTAATTTTTTTGAGTAGCATATCTTTTTCAATCTGTGTGCAATTTCTATGTCCTGTTGACTGGCACCAAGTCTTGATCCACCACTACCTGAAAAATTTCAAAATATGATTTAATAATATGTTGTTCATGCAAAGGGAGGAGAAATATTTTCCACTGCACAAAGTTTCTCTGTTGAGAGAGAACTTGCATTTATGATTCTTGGATTCCTCACAATAGATGCATTATATCTCCCTATTTGCATTAAATGTCCTTACGGTGCTCGATCTTGTTCCTCACCAAAGGGTCCTGATCTTGTTCTCTTTGATTAGAGGGGTTACATGCTCTAAAACGCTGGTAATTCTTTTTATTTCGCAGCATCTTGCTGCACGCAAGGAGCAGTCTGCACTCCGGGCTGTCATCAAGTGCGTTCAAGAGTACAAACTTGAGGCCGAATTCCCTTCAAAAAATCTCAAGAAGCGCCTTGACCAATTAGAGAAATCCAAGACTGAGAAGAAAAAGCCAGCTGCTGTCCCTGCCAACAAAAGAACACGAGTGAACAGTGGTGGCCCAATGCCACCAGCAAAGGCTGGCCGCTCTACAAATGCTTACGTGTCATCTTTCCCTGCGGCCCCGCATATGTCAGGTCCCCGTCACATGTTCAATACCCTGTTGGCGTTCCATCGTATCCTGCTGGTCCTGCCATGTATGGCAGCAGAAGCCCTCCAACCAACCCTTATGCATACTCACCTGAAGCAGCCCTTCCTCTTGCTGGGTCTTATCAAGTAGCTCCAGTGAACTACTCTCCTTATGGAGGCCATGGAAACGTTGCACCAACTTATCAGCAAGCCTACTACCGATAGACTTGACTCTGGAGATGGTGAAACACTGATATGATGACCCTGATCTCGAATGTTCTCTAAATGGTTTGTAATCACTAACCTTTTAATGGTAGCAATATCTGTGTGTGTTAATCCTTAATACTGATCTTTAATCTGCATCTTGACTCTTGACTTGACTTGACTTTGTCAAGGACAGGTTCTCTTTCTAATGTTGATTAAACTTGTAGTACTAGGTGAATGTGGAAAAGTAATTAAGAAAAAATCTTCTTAACAAAAGACATGGTGTAGACACCCCATTTTTGACCGTCCTCAAAACTTGGACGTCACCGTTTGAACACACGGTGATCTTCCATGTTTGTGTTCGTTTGGAGTTCCCGGAGGCCTCGGCTCGCGTGCCTTGCCTCAGGATCTCCGAACTCGACCGTTTAGTGTCTGGTTTTGCACCAAACACTTGCATCTTGCCCTTGAGAGGCAGGGTGGGGCTTGTAGACCATCCCTACCCATCACCGGCAGTGGCTAGAGGCCACCGGCTGGTGTTTGCTGCCACAGTGGTGAGGATG